CTCTCCCTCCCTCCCTCCCTCTGTCCCTTCCTTCCTTCCTTCCTTCCTTCCTTCCTTCCTTCCTTCCTTCCTTCCTTCCTCTTTCTTTCTTTCTCTCTCTCTCTCTCTCTCTCTCTCTCTCTCTCTCTCTCTCTCTCTCTCTCTCTCTCTCTCTCTCTCTCTCTCTCTCTCTCTCTCTCTCTCTCTCTCTCTCTCTCTCTCTCTCTCTCTCTCTCTCTCTCTCTCTCTCTCTCTCTCTCTCTCTCTCTCTCTCTCTCTCTCTCTCTCTCTCTCTCTCTCTCTCTCTCTCTCTCTCTCTCTCTCTCTCTCTCTCTCTCTCTCTCTCTCTCTCTCTCTCTCTCTCTCTCTCTCTCTCTCTCTCTCTCTCTCTCTCTCTCTCTCTCTCTCTCTCTCTCTCTCTCTCTCTCTCTCTCTCTCTCTCTCTCTCTCTCTCTCTCTCTCTCTCTCTCTCTCTCTCTCTCTCTCTCTCTCTCTCTCTCTCTCTCTCTCTCTCTCTCTCTCTCTCTCTCTCTCTCTCTCTCTCTCTCTCTCTCTCTCTCTCTCTCTCTCCCTCCCTCCCTCCCTTCCTTCCTTCCTTCCTTCCTTCCTTCCTTCCTTCCTTCCTTCCTTCCTCTTTATTTTATATCTATACCTCTCTTCTCCTCTCCTCTTTCCATCTTCCCTTCCTTCCTTCCTTCCTTCCTTCCTTCCTTCCTTCCTTCCTTCCTTCCTTATTCCTGTGTGTTTTTTTCCCTTTGTATATCTTGAGGAGTAGCTGCAATGACCACTGTCATTTTCCAGAATATCTAAAAGGTATCAATAGAAGAGAATCTCTGTAGCTCAGGATTGGACTGTGGAGTCCTTGGAGTTCTCTGAGCTTGGTTGTTCTCTTGCAGGTGTTTCGTTACCTAGCTGGGTAACAAAATGTCTGCAAGAAAACAACCAAGCTTGGAGAACTCCAAGGACTCTGCATATCTGGAAGGGATGGGGTACAGGGCAAGGTGGGAAGGAATGAAAAAACAGCTGATGCAAATTCTGCAAAGCCCTCCTCTGTTATACTCTCAGTATACCTAAGGCGATCCTCCCCTTTCAAAGATGATTCATTTGGAAGAAAACTAGAGTTCTTTGTTGATAAATAAATATTTCTTCACAAGGGCTTTGATTCAGGTGTGGATGTATGAAACAGAGAGCCAGAGTGATATAGTTGTGAAAGTCCTGGATTAGGACTAAAGAGATCCAAAGTCTGACCTCATCAAGAAGTGACTTTGGACTCCTCAGTTTAATAAGTAGGAACAAATAGAATGTGGCTTTAAAAGTTAATTAGATTCGAGTAGGTTTCTTCCTGACATCAGCCCTGAAAGTTTTGTGGAACCTAGGGACAGCACAGAAGTAGCTGTTCGTGTTTTTTGCAGCACTAACAGTAGTGCTTTCATGCTTGTCTGGGGTTTTCCTGGGGCATCTGGTTGGGCAGGGTTGGAAACAAGACGATGAACTAGATTAAAAGGGGGTCAGCCTTTTGATAGCAGGGGATAGGAGGTGAGTTGGTGGGGGGATATAGCTTGCAAGGGGAGGAGGAAAATGAACGGATGGAGCAAGTTAGGGGGTTGTATTTTGTTCTTTTGTTTCTTTGGGGGTTGGGATTTTTCTGTGTTATAAATTATGTTAAGCCCATGCTTAGCCTATGTTGGTGGATTTTCCAGCAGAAGATGGTAGGAAAATGTCAACCAGTTGTGACTCTGCCCACCCCTAACCTAGATTGTAAGAGTTTAAAAGGAATCTGTCACAGGTTTCTATGGAAATAGAGCTGCCAAAACAGACTCCATTATCCAAATGACAACATTGAACAAAGTCGACCGATGTCAGCCCCACTGAGTAGAGCAGGCCAGAAATTCAACTCCACAGGTAGCCTGAAACTACTCATATTGAGATTGATTATACTAAGAGAATCTTGCAAGTCTGATTGTTCTGTATCTCCTCCTCCTCCTTACACTGGATGTGTCTTTTTTTGGCCAGACGTCAGCTCCAAACATTCAAGAACGGTACCTGTAAAGGAATGATTCTGAAAGTTGTATGCCAAAAGATGTGTCAGTATGAATATATTTTTAAAAAATTAGTGACATTTTCATTTAAAAAGCCTCCCTACAGAACTTCACATGAAAAAGAACCACACCACAGAAATAAATGTTAAGGTTTATTGAGAAAAGTATGTTAATAATTTGGGGAAGTTGTCTGTATACGATCCACATGTTAGGAAAGATTGCATATGAGAACAGATGGGGACTTTTAAGTGTCTTTTTAAAATATAAATCCATGCCACACTATTTCCCATTGTCCAAATTGACATGTCTCACATGGAGATGTAGTCTAATGAAAAAAAACATCTCCGTGAATATCAGTATGTGCATGACATACTTATGCATAGTTAACAATCATGAAATATTTTCCAGATATAGATAAGCTATGATGATGATGCCAACATGGGAACCAAACCTATAACAAACCCAGATGCCCCCCCCCCATTTTCACCAACAGCACCATCATAGGCCCCAACAAATGCATAGAAGTATTAGAGGGGCCTTCACGTGCTCTTTCTCCAGTGTGATATATACCATCATCTGCCAGCAATGCCCCTCTGAATTCTACATAGGACAAATGGGACAAACTTTGCTCGAAAAAATTAATGGACGCAAGCTTGACATCAGGACTCAAAACTAGGACAAAGTAATATCGGAGAATTTTATCCTCCCAGGACACTCCGTAGTTGTCAGCCCCACTAGTTAGACCAGATCAGGAAGCCAACTCCACAGGAAGGCTAAAACGACTCCTATTGAGATGGGCTATCATAGCAGAATCTTGCAAGTCTGATCGTGCTGGGCCTCCTCCTCCTCCATGAACTTGGGAGGCATCTGCCTGAACCGCTTCTAAACATTATCTCCTTCTGGACTTCAACAATTCTTTAGCCCCTTTTGTCTAGGCAATGGTTCTTATATATTCCTGTCAAGGTCATCTTCCTTGTTCTCTTATAATAGCAGACCTCAACGTGACTGTTTTGGAAAAGCGGGACTTTAAAAACACCATTGAGTGAGAAATTGTTGAACTCACATATATCAAAAGGTTTCAGGCAATCTCAGAAGGTCTCAAGAAACACAATGGGTTTTTAATAGATTGCAATTAATTAATAAGGTAATCTGGCTCGCATGTAAAGCTGCATCTGCATAACCAACCTTTCTTCCCCTCCCTTTCCCTCTCCCTTTTCCTCTCACCCTCCTCACCCAATTTAAATCCTACATCAGTCTATCCACTCTATGCATCTCGTGCAGCTCGCAAAAGCTTATGCCCTTTAATAAAGTTCGTTAGTTGGAAAAGGTGCTACCAGACTCCTCCGGCTTCTAACACATCAGTAACAAGGTATTTTGTCTGAAATGTGATGAGATGCCATCTAGAGGCAGCTTCAAGGTGGTCTTAATTATTCAACTCCACTGAGTCATAGGGTACAAGAAGTATGACACCAGAAGCTGCTCATTTGGAGCGCTTTTATGGGGGATTGGTCAGTTGGAGAAGATCCATGGCAATTAGTTACAATAGTTCCAGGAAGAGAGCCCAGACTGTTAATTGCTGAGAAACACAAGCAGAAGGACGCCACCAAGCTAATGGATGACCTCTAGACTTCCCAAGGAGATCTTTTTAGCAAATGGGGGAAATGGGTGGTAGGGTTATGTGGGATGTTGGACTGCTCTAGTCTAGTTCATCGTCCGCTCTTCTTTATTTACCTGGGGCTCTGTGCTCAGGCTGAGAGTTTATTATGTATTTGTTTATTTATTTAATTCAATTTAGGTGCTGTCTGATTCCAAACCAGTTGAGTTAGGTAATGGGTAGATGCAATTTTGGTCCTTGGGATCAAAAAGCAGCATGAAACTTCTGCGGTTTTTAGAACTTGCATAAGTAGCTGGAAGCTGACCTTCCACTCTTGTCTGATAAACATGAAAGCAGGATCCTCTGCCCACCGCACTTCTGGGCCCAGGTCAAGTCTAAACTACTCATGTTAAGGTCCTAGAAGTGATTTTATAAGCCTTATGATGGAACATGCATGCGTTAAGGCAGGCTTGGCTGTTTACATCTTGAAATGTCCCTGAGAATCCAATCTCTAGGATGCTGTAGATGGCCAGCCCTCCAATATGCGTCCCACAAAAATCTATAATTACCTATAATCACAAGATTTTCTTGATTGAACTAATTACATTCTCTCATATTAAACATCTCTTCTAACCACTATGGAAAGAAAGCTACACATTTTGTACCACGGTTAGCTGTTTATTGGAAGCATGGTTTCTCCATGGTGGGTCAGGAACCTGGTGACTTCACTCCTGCTTGCTTTCTTTTGCAGAAACCAACCTGAGTTCTCTCAAGCAGCCACATGTGGACAGCTCTCCAGCAGTGTCACCTCCCCATCAGAGAAGAGATTCTGACAGGTATTGCCAGCTCTGTGCAGCTTGGTTTAACAACCCCATGATGGCACAGCAACACTACGATGGAAAAAAGCACAAAAAGAATGCAGCCAGGGCTGATCTACTAGAGCAGCTAGGAAAGACCTTGGACCTAGGCGAGGTAAGAGGTAAGAGATTTTAGTCTTCTAAAATGATCGCGTTGAAAGTCTTTGTATAGTGATTGTGTTCTCTGGCTGGGTACCCATCAAAAAAATCAAAACCGTGCACAGATTGGCCAACCTGAGAAGTCACTGGGATGACGCCTTGTATTAATAGTAGGGTATCACCATGCCCGTTGAGTTACCTGATCAAAATATAGGGGTATCATCATTGAATTATGGGGGTTTGATGTAAGACTGTAAATGTGTCTTTCTCGTAATAATCCCTGATGTTTCTTTGTTGAGGATGACCCACTACCATTGGGCTTATTTGGCCTAAACTCAAAATTTCTGAAATAGGTCTGTTCAGAGTAGGGTTCAGCCAAACATTTCATTGGCATTTTCATTTCCACGCTGTTCTTTCACCTTAATGGAAACAATATTGCTTTTGATTGCTCTTTTTTTCTCTCAAGGGAGAAAAACCTTTCAGTTAAATTTTTATGGTAGAGTGTGACATTCCAGCAATTATTTTAGTGATAAAAAGGGAGATATGTGAATTAATGCTTAAAGCAGCCTACCATCACCTTTTCCATCTCTTGCAAAAACAAACTAACTAAATCTTTGTTAATTAAGCAAAATTGGGACATGACACCTTTTCCTCCAGGATAACGGGGGAAAGTGCCTTCAAAGGGGTTTGAATGAGAACTTGTTTTTCATCTCCCTTTTCTTCTTGTTGTTTTTAAATAATGCCTTTGACTTCCTGCAGTCAAGGGCTATTAGCTGATAACCCATCAAACACAGAACGTTTTATCCATTTATGTTTCACCAAACAGAGTTGAAAATAGAAAGCTTTCCTGGGGCAACATTAAATGATGGCTTAAAAAAATCAGTTTTTTAAAATACCATCATTTCTTAATTCTACAAGCTATAGATTGAGTTTCTAGATATATCACAAGCCAAAAAATTCATCTTTAAGGAATGGTGTCCTTCCCTTAAGATTCAACTCATGCCACAAGTCTTCTACTGATTATATTAAAATCCCAGAGATGAAGGAATTGTCCTCATCTTAACACAGAATGGCAAATTTAGCTGCAGAATCTCTCCCTGCAATATTATTTATTTATTTTTATTTATATACTGGAGCCTCCTGCCTTGTGGTGGAATTCTGTTCTATGAACTGCTTCTAGTAAAGCTAAGATACTTGAGTTTGGACTGGGTAGGCCTTATTCTTCAATGGCCTTTTGTGAAAAATACCTGTGACCCTGGACTCAAGAATAGTAGAGCTTCCAGTGGTTAAGATGGAAGGACCATAGTTCAGTGGTAGAACCTTCACTTGGACTCTCAAATGATTCCAGTTTCAATTCTAGGCATTCCTGGCAGAACCTGGGAAGAGCTCATTTGAAAAGGAGAGGGGTAAACTAATCTTCTCCAGCTTTGGTTTCTCCAGCTGGTGTTCAGCTCCTATAATCCCACATTGATCAAGATGTTTGGGATTGTGGAAGCTGAAATCCCATGCACCTGGAGGTTGAGGACATTTGGAGAAGTTAATACTGAGCAAGGTAGCCCAAAGATCTGACCTGAGGAAGTATAGTCATGAATAAAAACTCCATGTTAAATGTTTTGAATGAATTAATAATCATCCTAACAACTGGGTCAGTTCCTTTCCTGATTTGTTACATTTGCATCATATTTAGCTATGGTAATGCAATAAAACCTTAATTTTCAGAGCAATCTATCTGTAAACAGATTGCTTCCATCGGCCTCCTGGATTTTTTTTCTCTTCCTTCTATTTTGTGTAAATGTGTTTTTCTTTTTTTATAAATTTTAACTATGTATTTATTTATTGTTTTAATTGTTGTAAACCGCCCAGAGTCCCCCATTGGGGAGAGATGGGTGGGGATAAGCTTGCTAAATAAACAAACAAACAGCAAATGAATAGGTCAATCAGTAAGGAAAGGAATGTAATCTTCATGCCCATCTTCTCTTTTTAATCTTTTTACCTTAGAGTTTTATACACAATCTCCTTGTTTCAGAGAAACTATCAGGAATTATCTATCTATCTATCTATCTATCTATCTATCTATCTATCTATCTATCTATCTA